GGTGCAGCGGGGAGAGGGTGCGCTAGGAGAAGGGGTGCGGGGAGATGGGGGGCACCGGGGAGAGGGTGAGCTAGGGGAAGGGGTGCACCGGGGAGAAAGTACGCTAGGGTAGAAGGTGCAGGGAGACGGGGGGCACCAGGGAGAGGGTGCCCTAGGGGAGGGGCTGCGGGGACATGGGGTGCACGGGGGAGGGGGTGCAGGGAGACAGGGTGCAGCGGGGAGAGGGTGCGCTAGGGAAAGGGTGTGGGGAGATGTGCTGCACGTGGGAGGGGTGCAGGGAGAAGGCATGCACTGGGAAGAGGGTGAACTAGGGGAAGGGGTGCACCGGGGAGAGAGTACGCTAGGGTAGAGGGTGCAGGGAGACGGGGTGCATGGGGGAGAGGGTGCAGGGAGATGGGGTGCACTAGGAGAGAGAGTGCACCAGGGAGAGGGTACAGGGAGACAGGGTGCAGCAAGGAAGGCCGCAAAGGCACCACCATGGCTCTAGGGATGGAGCGTGGGGGAGGCGCAGGGATTTGGGGTGCCGGGCCAAACCAACATCCCACCCCCATGGCAGTTTTGATGAATGGTATTAAAAAGTGGGTCATCAAAATACATATATATATTGCAGAGAGAGAGATGTACATGCATACATTGTGGGCCGGGCTGCCAGCATAGACCTTGCAGCATCTGGGCTAAATAAGCAATATGTGCTCAGTTGTTTCTTGAAAGGTTATTCACTTGGATATTTTTCTTAGAAAAGACTTCCCTTCAGCCTGGGAGTTGTTACAATACTGCCAGTGACTCCTTTTTAATTCCTGGGAAGGAATATTCCGAAAAGAAATGTGCCTATCACTTTTAATACTGGAAGTGGCCCCAGAATTGCTTGTTAGAAAATGGAGCTTTAAAAAATATTAATGCACAAGCAGTTCCCATGTGCAGCAATACCGTTACGGCTGAGACTGAAACGAAGTGCCTTGGCATAAAGCAGCTGGGATCCTGTATTATTACTTTTTGAAGTTGAGGAGTCTGAGTCCTCACTGCATGGAGTGATCGGGGTGCACCTTCTTCTGGGAGGTGAGGAGAGGAGGATGCTTGGGAAAGGAGAGTCACTGGAAAATAATGGCGAGAAAACTGTGACGAGGCTGGAGGTTGCCGAAATCATCAGGAACACGCAGGCTGAGAGACTCTGGCTGTTATTTACCACCCATGTTTGCTGCCAAGACCTTCTAAAAATACAGAGGGGAACACGACTGGGTGATGGGGTGACATGGATGTGCTTCAGCCATCATCCACACCATGGTGGCACCCTGGTGCCTTCCTCCTTCTATCCCCACCTCCCCGGAGCTGTCTTTTCCTTCCCCTTCCCCATCCCCTTCTCCTTTCCCTTCCTCTTCCCCTATCCCTTCCCCTCCCCCTTCCCCTTCCTTTCCCAAGTGCTGCCTTCATGTCCGCTCAGATGCTGAAGGGTTGTTCTCGGCTTTTCCCCAAGCAATGTAATTTTGGAGCCACAGAGCTTGTCCCTGAGCAATACTCCACCCAAAGCCTCCTGAGCCAGTTTGCAAGGCTACAGGCTCCTTTCTGGCTGGGTTTTCCTGCAGGGATAGGTTTTCCCTTCCTTCTCTTTGTCGGTCGGAAAAACGTGGTAGAAGCTGTCGCATCTCAACTCTGTCCTTCTGGAAAGATTTACCTACGGTCTTTCCAGCGTAGCACATTTAGCACTTCAATAATTGTTTGCTTTTTCTTGCAAGATCAAGGAGACCTATTGCAGCAGCTGCTCTGAGCTCCACTGCTGGAGGGCAAGCGGCAAAACCCACCTCTGAGGGCTTCCCAGGTCAAAAAGAGCAAATGCTAGAGGACAGCAGCTTGCTTTCAAGACATCAATGCTCCTGAGATGGGCAGGAGACAGCCAGTCCTGAGGGCACACACCCTAAGTGCCTGTGAAGACAAATTTGGACAAAACCGCTTGCTCGTGGTATTTCCCTCTCCTTCCACATTGAAAATTGACAGCAGGAGGAAAAATACTTTAAAATAAGGATTTTGTGCAACACAGCCCTCTGCAATGTCCCCAGGAGCATCCGCACTGAAAGATACTCCTGCACACATCTCAGCCAAAGAGCCACCTCATGGACCAAATATGGGGCATTCCTCTCCGGGCACATCAGCCTCTCCCTGGTATGGTTTGCAGCATCCCCACACAATGGGATTAAAAGCCTCAAAATGGCAAAAATGTGCTTAATGCAGCCCGGAGGAGCTGGAAAAGGGAGATTAGAAAGGCAGGAAAGGGGGAGGAAGGAAGTCCCCAGGATGGGAAAGGTCCTGGGGAGGGCAGTGGATACAGTCCCAGCAGCACTTCAGGGCAAAGCCATCTCTTCATGTCATAAACTACCCAACCCAATGCTTTTTTTTTGGCTGGATGAGCAGAGATGCATTTGGGGCGAGCCCTTGCTGCTCTCCCCGTAGGGTTTCCTATGGGGGCTTGGCGCCAGCAGCTCCAGTGGAGGGCAGGGACGGGCACATCCAGCAGACCACATCCAGCTGCTGGACCTGCCCCAACCACTCTCTCCTATTCCCTACTCCTCCAGCCATTCGGATTATATATTGAGTTATTTATTTCTAGTTAAAGAGGAGCTGGAAGTGTTCATCTGAAGTCATATTTTAGGCAGAGTTTAAACATTTCCAGGGAGTATTTGACAGAGGTGGGGGAAGACAGGCTGTGAGCAAAGGCCATGTGGCAGAAAGGCCAGTAATTCATTAGCAAATCTGTGCTGAGCACGTGGGCACTCACTACAGTGCATAGAAATGGGAATTAAACGCGAGCCCTGAGATCAATACCCCGTGCAACTAAATGAGCTGGCAGGGAACGGCTTCCCAAAAGTACAGGGACTGAAAGGGGGGAGGATATAGGCACCAAAATGAAACCCCATCTTTTTAGGTCAAATAGCTCCCGGTACCCTGCTAGAAGCATCTTCCACTCAAGTTTACAAAAGTAAAGCGAAGCTGTGCCGAGACAACATGTGGGCAGGTTCATGTTGCTAGAAGGACTCTTCCCCCCAACACGCAAGTATTCCCATGGGAAACCATAGAAAGAGACCAGATAAGACAACTGTTCCTCTGTCGTGCAGCCCAGAGGCTGGGAAATGGCTGCAGGATGAGCCGGAGCCCCCCTGCCCCGCCAGCAGAAAAAGCAATGATAAAATGCTGCTGGTCCTCCTTGCTTTTCCTGGCAAGGTTTTTTCCAGCAGAGATGCACTCTAGGCATCAGAGCAAGGTGGACGATACCTGCGCCTTCCCTTTGCTGTTTGCAGAGCAATAAAAAGAAAATCAGGTATTTAACGAGGCTTCCTCTTGGTGCTTATAATTAGAATATTGGAAAGCTGCTCCCAAGAATAATTGATGGGGAAAAGCATGCCAGTGTTCGCAATTAATATTATTGCTGTGGGAAAGACTGAAGTGGAAAGCTAAAGCCTCAAACCCCCACCAACCATCCCGACACTGCCGACGGAGGCATGGATGCTGTCCTCTTGCAAATAAAATACCGATTTAAGAGAAAGCGAGTGTGTGATGAGCCATAGGCAAACCCAACACTTTGGCTCAGACCTGAGCAAGCCCCAAAGTGTTCAGATTAAATAATCTGTCTAGGAACAAAAAAAAACCCAAATGGTCTCTTAGTCCACTGGCTCATCACTTTCTTCAAGCTATTTAAATTTAGGGTTTACCCTATTTTATTCCTATAGATATCCAGGGCTGTGG